TAAGTTAATATATAATTATATATACAATACCTAATTTATATATAATTAATATATAATTATATGTACAGTACCTAATTTATATATAATTTTATATATAATACTGTACAGACAATAGTAATCTCTTCGTAGCGTGGCGCTCGACGGTGCAGAAAGTAGTTCGGCTGCCCGATGACGTTTTACATAATTATAGGAGTTTTTTACGGATACCGTCGCAATTTTTTCGCAGTTTTATAGGAATCGTAATTATAGGAACCCATTTTATAGGGGGGTCTACTGTACTGGTTTTTTTTTCCATTATTAGATTTTTGTATTTTGGTAATTTATTATCCAGAATACAAAGATAATGCTTAAAAGACTTTTTAAAATCATTCTTAACAGTGCAAAAAATTGTGGAATGCTGTGTACAGCAAATTGTATACTGTGTGAGCAGAGAAAACAGAGAAAAGTTTTTTGTGTTTTACTTTTCTCATGCACACAAAGAGAACAAAAGTAAGTCATAAGTAATATGCACCCTAAATTAAATTAATATTACTTTTATTTTCTATTCTCATGAAATGAGAATTGATCTGTGTTTTATTCACCTCAAAACAAAAAGTTCTCTCTACATTATATTTTTATGATATTGATTTTTCAGAGTGAAACCATAGAATAAATAGAATTAAAACTTTCCATTAATAAAAATGCTTAATGCATCACTGGTTAATATTTTATAAAAAAAAAAATGCATATATTGAAATAAATGACTCTATGAAGGAAAAAAATATATGAGATATTTAGAAACTTATGAATAAAAATAATTTTATCAGTTAAATAGTAAATTATTATTATTTAAAATTTTTCTTTGATACAAATTTCTTTTTGATTGTTTTAAATTATTATCTGTTATATATGTAGTATTTTTTTTTAATGACGTGTAGGATGATATTAAATCATAAAAATTATAAGTTTATTTAAATTTATTTTTAATTTTATTTGTAAAATGATATTTTTATCAAAATTGTAACTTTTGTTTCATCCGAATTTTTTTTTTAATTTTGGCAACATCTATCAGCTTTCCTTTAGATATTTATCTTTTTTAAATAGATCAGACTTCTGAAGTAATTTCTTGCAGGAGTGCACAATGGGTCTTAAGTTGAAATACTTCTGACTTGCCCTCACAGACATAATTTACAATCTACTATATTATTTCTATATTAAATTTAGTAGTAGTAGTAAAATAAATATAATTTTAAAACAAAAATCTTCTAATCTGAATACCGGTATTCTGATAAAATCGCACTTACTAAACCTTTATTGTCCGGTACTTGTAAACTATTCGTAAAAACAAACGTTTTCGGCCTCAGACAAGGTCTTCTTCAGGTTAAAATAATTGGATTCCATTCTTAGATTCTAAACGTTAGTTTTTACGAATAGTTTACAAGTACCAGACAATAAAGGTTTAGTAAGTGTGATTTTATAATTTTAAAATTTCTTTATTTTGAAAGCTTATTTGATATTCTTCTAGATTGGCCGTTCTTCTGAAAGTCCAATTGATTTTGTTGTTATGGACACTATAGCTGGTGATAAAATGGGTGAAAGGAAAGTTACACAGAGTACTATATCACGGTTTTCATGTCGTATACTTATAGAAAGAAACAATAATCACATAGCAAGGATATATGCAGCAGGATTTGACTCTTCATGTAATATATTTCTTGGAGTAAGTATTTGAAGAAATAAGTGTTGTTGAAGAGTGATGGTAAAGATAAATATAATAAGTTTTTTGAATGCAAAACTAGTTCTTAGGTTTAAATAAAACGTTTTATTATTTCTCTTTTCAAAAATAATATATAANTATATTGAATACTACAATTCAATAAATTTTGAAAAGTACTGTGAATTTTATCTTATAAAATATTAAATAATTTAAATCTGAACCAGTAGTTATTACTAATATAGAAGAACAAACAAACTATATCAGCATCATTTCCTGCAGATATACAATTGTGGAAAAACATTAGCTTATCATGCTTATGTACAGGAAGTCAATGTACTGTTATTAAATATGTTGATTTTTGTTACTGTGTATTATGATTAAACTATTGATAAATACATTTTCTACATTGCATAAAGACATTAGGAAACAAATTAAAATAATTATTATTTTTATTCTAGTTAATTTTTTTAATTTTGAATTGTCTATTAATGTTTTATTTATCTGAAATTTGAAAATTCTTAGTCTTGACATGACAATCCATTCACTCCAGTAAAGAAAGGATGTTATACAATTGCCACGTCATATCCATGCATTCTTCAGTTACACAAAACACAAATTATATAAACTTGAGTCTTGAATGGTTGTATGAACAACTCAATTGGAAATGGTGTCTGTCTTATTTTTTATTCCATTAAACATAATATTAGTTTCAAACTCCTCTAAGAATTGTGTACTTAATTCCAAGATTTTAGGTTTTCCTTTTTGAATTGAACCCCAGGATTGCAATCCTAAAAGTAATGACTAGGTTTACTACGCCAATATATTATCCAATTAAAGATCAAGATAACCACTATCTATTGGGGATAAATAATTTTTATTATTTATAACATCATTACAAGCATTTTCAACGTTTTATAAATGTCATCTTCAGGTGAAGAAGAGAACGTTTTCTTGTTTGTCTGAATAGACAGTGCTACCTTGTTCTTTAATTGGATTGCAATCCTACTGAACATCTAGCTATAACATATTAATTTTAGATAATTATAATATATTATTTACAAAATATAGTTTCATTAAATATTTTTATCATAAGGGAACTTATAATTAATGATGCTAACAATGAAATATACAGGGTGATTATAATTAAAAGAGTGGCTATTTAGAACTCTCTATAGAAAAATTATTGGGAAAATCTCAATCAAATTTGGCACATGTACTGTCCTGATTATATGATTTTAGTTTTCAGGTAAAAATTTTATTTCAAAATGTAATTATTCTAGAAACTGGAGAGAATACCAGAAATAATATTCACACCTTAAAATATACTCCAGTAATAAATTCCAATGAAACAAAAATGTTTTTAACCTAAGTTTAAAGATTTTCATCAGTTGAGCATTTGAACATAGAACACATAGAATAAAAATTTTTAAATTTATTCATATTTTGTGTTTTGATTATTTTCATTCAAAAATATTCTATTCAAAATACAAAATAGAATATATTAAAAAATAAACAAAATTATTTTTTAATTTATATTTTTATATTTTGAGTGTTCTTTTCATTTATATAGTTTTATGTTCAAATGCTCAATGATTAATATCTATAAACTTTGATTGAAAACATTTTTTCATTAAAATTTGTTGCTGGAGCATATTTTAAGATATGAATTTTATTACTTCAAAATTCAGCAAAACTTCTAAGAATTTGGTGCAGCTGTCTTCATAATATGCATATTAAGTGCATTTTAAAATGAATTTTTTATATAAAACTAGCTTACCCGTCGTACATTGCTGCAATCTCCAGAAGAAAGGAAATTCAAGCAAACTTGTTATGATAAAATTCAATTTACATTTTATCATTTTTATTGAAACTTATTATTATTATTCATTTTCATCGGGAAAACATTTCAAAGTGTCGTTTCAATTCTATTTATTTATTGGAGTG